GCCCCTTACATTCTCGATGAACTACAACAGCCTGAGCATCGGCCCCGGGGGCCTGCCTGTCATCAAGATGTTTTACGCCAACGCCCCCGGCCACCAGCTGCTGCGGTTCAAGAAGGCCGGCCCCTTCCAAGCGGCGACGCTCCGGCCGTCGGGCCCGAACTCAACTGCCTTCGATTCTGCGACGGTTGCGGGGGGCAGGAGAATCAGGGTGCCGGGCAGAAACGAGTGGCTCCTGTTTTATGAGGGGGCTGACAAGAACGTGATGTCCAGCATCGGGATTGCGCGCTCGCCGGACGGCGTCACCTTTACTAAAGAGGACCGCTGCCGCGACGCGGGCGCGGCCGCGCCCGGAGGGCCGGTGCTTTCGCCGCGCAGACACCAGCCGCGCGCGTGGGACGCGTGGCAGACCGGGACGCCGTTCCCGCTGGTACTCCCCAATGGGACGCTTTATTTGTACTATGTCGGCATGAATAACTTCACGCGCCTGGCTGCTACGCCCCATGCGCCAGAGCCCGGTGCATCGGGGCGCAACGGCAGCTCTAAGTCCAAGGGTGGCGGCGGCGAGGTGGGGGAGGGGGTGTACGGCGCGGAGCTGGGGCTTGCGGTGGCGGACCCCGAGCCGAGCGGCGCCTACTGCCGGTTCAGGCGCGTGGTGCTGTGACGAGGGGGGTTGGGGCGCGGGCTGAGCCGCTGGCTGGGGGCGCCGACAGTGGCGCGGCGGCTGCTGCTGTACAACAGATCGGGTGGTATGTGCAGATTTTGAGACGGCTGTTTGCCGCTGTAGGATTGTACATCCTGAGAGTCTTGTTGATACTGGCGCACGGCCGCGGACGGCCCGAGCAGTACTGCTCACGTGAATATTGCTGCGCTGCCGGGGTGCTGGAACCTACCTCACACCTGTCTTGGAGCTGCTGGAAGTTTTACTGTGTGGGGCTCCGTCTGGCTTATGAAGGCCCATCCCCTTTTCACACCCAAATCATGGTCATGTCCTGTGAAGGCGGATTGCAAAATATCCTCATTGTTTGCCGTGGTAAGAATACTTGGGGCATAAATGCAATCATTGCGCTGAATTCGGCCTTGCTTGAAGGGGCCAGAGGCGGCTACGCTGCCCAGGGGAGCGCTACGCCCGAGGGAAGCCACACAAGGGGGTGCACACGAGGCACGGCCAGGCGGCACAGGGCCCGCCTTGACAAGTACTTGCTTGCCGGCTGGCATGTGTGATGGCCGCCCCACAATCAGTCGTGCATGGCGTCGTGACGGGGGCGTGGGGGGTGCATTGGCTGAGGCGCGTGCGCCAGCATACTTGCGGCATGAGCCCATGCAGGGGCCAGGTGGAGGCGAGTCAGTCAGGTGCGCAGGTGTTTATCGAGGCAAGTGAATGTTGGTGCGCGTGAATAACCAACAGGGCCCATGAAGCAAGCACACGCATCGAGGCCCAGTGCATGCAAAATTAGGTAGGTGGGGGTAGAGCTGCTGCTTCATTGCCTTCACTGCTGTGCAAACGCGCTATTAGTGTGTGGCTGCCTTGCGGGCCTGCTTCATAGCTACCAGTGATGCCGTCTCCGCTGCTCATTATCAATCAAGATCAGCACTCAATGGCATGCCAAAGAGTCTAGACGGCCGCGAGACTGCGCCAGAAGCCAGAAAGAATGCCGAGACCGCGAGTGCCACAAGGGGCCGCCGCCAGCGCCACCGCCCGCGCCTTCAGGCCGCAACCAGCGCCGGCTCGGCCGCCGCCGCCGCCTCCTCCGCCGTTGCCGGCGCGAACACCTTGGCGTTGACCGCCGCCGCCCAGACCTGCAGGTCGCCCGCCCCAGATGCAGTGTACTTGATGGTGGTGCCCGCCGGCACAAACGCTACGCTGCCGCGCCGCAGCTCCGCCTGCGCCAGCAGCTTGGACGACGCCGCCGCGCCGCCGGACGCGGCGGCCGAGCCGGCGCCGCGGGTGACGAGGAGCAGGAGGGGGCCGGGGTTTGTGGGGGCGGGGACCGTCTCGCCGGCGGGCACCTCCACGAGCTGGATCTCGAATTCCTCAAACGGCGGGCGGAAGACCTGGGGGTTGCGGAGAGATCCGGCGCAAAGGCATGCATTGAGGGGGAGGTGAGTTTGAAAATAGGGACGTCATCGCATGAATCAGGCAGGGCTTGGGTTGCAGACACCATCGGCTGCCCCGGGGTACTAAGGGCGGAGGGTGAGGAGGGAGACGCAGGGGGAGTGCGCGTTGCGCTTGACATGCACAGAGATCCCCTCCTTGCATGTACATATGCAACAAAAGAGAGAGAGAGAGAGAGGTAATCGCACACATGAGAGCATGCAGGTAGGGGTACGACTCAGTCTGCACGTTAACTCACAC